TTCTAGTGACAAAGCTGGCTATCCTGGTAGCTGCTGTTGGCCTCTGATGCTCTGTCAGTGCTCACAATCAGGTGTGCAATAACTCCATCTGCATGTTCCATCACCACTTAGAGGTGAATGGTGGGTAAGGCATCTCCTGGCAGATTCCTGGCACAGGGGTCTGCATGCATGGGACTCCTGAGCTTGTGTTCTTGTTGAATGGAAATTGTGTTCTTGTTGCATGATCGGGAACTGCTTGGAAGCTGAAGATTAAACTGAGTCAGAAATGGTGTCTCACTGAGGTGGAAGTTTGTTTAGGTGAAAAACACAACCACTGGCTTTCTGGACAGTAAGCACTAAAGCTTGGGTAAGGGAAGACATGCACAGGATGAAAATCAGTACATTTCACAGACTCTGCCTCTAGAGTATAAGCCTTTTCAAATTAATACCTAATCTTGCTGAAAGCAATTCTTTTTATTACTGGCTCCTTGCAAATTCATCCTCACAAATGGCAGCACCCATTAAAAAAAAGGAAGAAGGATGGTAGTGATTTTTCTCCTCAAAGCTTAATTTTGCTCCAATAAAAGAGCATTTCAGGCTCCATATTTCTGTGCCTCGGCGATTCCTATTGCCAACAAAATCAACTATGAAAAACAAATACTTTTAGAATGATCAGTTCTGGCAAATTCAAAGGGAATACAAATGTCCTGCTGGGCCCTTTCATTTGCCATAGCAATCCTGCAAGCAGACCTTCATTACTTCTGTTGACAAGGCAAGAGCCAAAAGCAAATTCAAATTGCTCCGTTTTCCAGAGCTTTACTGCTTTGGAATGCTAGAACATAAACCCAAAAGTCAGTCAGTTGCTGTTCCTAGTTCACCCAAAGAGCCCATCCAACCAACGAGGTGTCATTTCTCCATGCTTTCCAGACAAACTATCCCCCTGAAAATCTGATAGCATGTCCTGCTTTACAAAGTTCTTTCTCAGTTAGCATCAATACCCACCATTTATCTTCACATCCCTTACAGTGAATTATTGGTCTGTATTGATAATGGAGGCACACTTAGAAAATCTTTCCATTTCAAAAGAGTCTTCATGAAAAATGGTTTAAATAGCATGCAAATTTTACAGCCCTGAAAATGGAGTTGTGATTAGACAAAGATTTGTTGGATTATAAAAGTACAAGTGTTTATTATGGCTGGTACTGAGAATAAACAGTTGCCTGCATATGCCAGCTACTATGGAAATATGTTTTTAAGTTCTAATGTGAGCTGTAAACCAAAGCTACTTCAGTTAAAAAAATTCAATACTTAAACTGTGGGGAGGAGTAGTCAGTGCCAGAGAAAACATTCCCATTTAATAATGTTTGAACATAGAGCTGTGATGCAGTTTGTAGCAAGGCAGTGAGAAAAACCCACAACTAATCCTTCATTGCAGCTGTCTGAACTTTTGGTCGTCTGCCATGCTTTAAACAGCGACTTCTTTTTCCTGGTGACTCAAGACTTGAATGACCTAGTGTGGAGGGTTTAAGCTCTATACAAAAAAGGAGTTAAGTAAGAAATAGCCAAAGTAAGTTGGGTTGCACACCCCAGCAAATCAGGGGTTTGTATCTTAAGTCCTCTTCAGTGCCTAGGAGAAAATATTAAAATAAATAGATACATTTTTATTTATTTGTTTTTGGCAAGGAAATATTCAGTGGTTTAGGTATCCATCTCTCCTCCTTCTCCTCTTCTCTCTCCTTAAAGTACTGATGTTATATGGAAATGAAATTCTGTAGAGAGTTTGAATTTTGAAGTTTATAAATGCTAACCTTTCCTGTAGAAAAACTTTCTAAGTTTTCTTTTATTATTTTTAACCTTTTCTTCCCATTGATATATCTCATAGGTAGGTCTTTTCAGCACCCTGAAGTAACAAATGTGCTTTTTTTTTCCTGATTAATTCTTTTGCAAAGTAATGGAACTTGCTTACTTTCAAATGGAAATATGGGAGTCAGAGAAGTAATTTTATATGACTGTTAACTTTAAAGGAAAATAAAAAAGAGGCTTTCTACCTTTGCCCCATTCTCACTATCACTTATCTGAAAAAGGATTAAACACTTAAGAATTATCCTGAGCTGGTGGAAACCCTGTAATTTTACAAGTCCTATGATACTGTAATAATTTCTTATTAAGGGTAATTTTAAAATGGTCATTCAAAGCTGCATATTGTGATCTTTCACAGATATGTGTTATGTTTTATCTTTGTATTATAAATTATTGGGTATTAAAAAAAGGTAAATTATTGAACAAAATAATCAATCTCTGCTGAGTCCAATGCCCATGGCAACAGATCTCCAGCATAATAGCTTTTGAGATACAGTAAGCAATAAGCAGTACAGCACAATGACCACATATTGCTAAAGCACTTCCAGTATTCCCCCCATTTTTTTTCTCTCCTAATTTCAACATACAGCTGTCAGTTTCAGCTTTGATTTCTAATTAATTAATCTCCTACTCTTACCTTATTATGTTAAGATTTTGTATTCATTGTATAATGTGTATATTATTTGGCATTCCCCTTATCTGTGATTAGCCAAGTTTCACACACAGAAGGAAGTCCAAGTCAAATGTATAATTGAAGAGCTGTTTATCCCCATCTGTTTATTAGTTTTCCCAAACTCCCTGGTAAAGTGAATACTGTGAATACAAACAGATGATGCTGCAAAGGAGGGTAGATGTTCTAAAGCAGAACTGGGCTGGCAGTCTAAGCTAAACACATTTTAGCTAATATTTTTAATATCAAGGTGTCTTCTACAAGAATTGTGAAAGTAACAGGACTATCTTTTTTCCATAAATTTGTGGGCAAACTGGATGACTTGAACAAAAACACATGCACACACTTCCTTTCCTGGTGTTTTTGTAACTTGAGTTTTATTTAAATAATTCCAAAGCATTATGTTAATGTACACTTTCTTCTGGTTCATGAATAACAAGTGTTTCCAAGTCTCCAATAAGATCCTTGTACAATTTGTGTTTGTGATGATATTTTGAGTCTCATTTTTACACATTCAGTTCCTGGGACAAACAGAATTGACTTCTCATTTAGAATGATGCTACATGGAACTGTAACACCTACTTGTACCTTTCAGTTAAGCAATATTTTTAATGGATGTTCCTGTGTTTACTTTTCAGTATATTTCCGTGGGATTACAGATTATATGTTTTAGTTGAATTAACATTCTCCATAAAGTTTCTTGGTGTGAAATCCATTGTTGAGTTTTTCTTTTTTAACTGCTTTAAAAAAATAGTTTACAACAGAAATTTTGAGTCATTTCATAGTGTTGAATGCATTAAAAGCATAAAGTCATGCATATGTCAGAGACATATTTACAAATCTGTACAGTTTCTGTCATTTTTATTTACTGCGGCTCTTGCCAGGCAACAAGATTCAACTCTTACCCCTCTGAGGCCAGACTCTCCAAGATAACCCATAGCCATTGTCCAAAAATGCTTTGTTTTGCTTACCAGCCCTGAGATGGATGTCTGCATGTAAGATGGGCCCAATTCTGCACTCCATTTCATAAAGCCTACCTTCCATGGAGTTAGAGGTGATTACCACTGCAACTCAAGCCAGAGCATGGAATGAACTCCACCCATGCACCTTTTCTTACTCTTAGGCTAAGGCTGAATGGCAGATGAATTTATTTCTGACCTGCAGATTATTCACAGTTGCCGGATTTCCTCTTGTTCATTCAGAATGTAAGGAGGACCTCATACTAAACTCACATGAACTATGCTAAGGGATTCTACAAAACATGTTCCCCTCTCTTCCTGTTCATTTTCAGAACTGTTGGAAATGGAATGTGCTGTTGGAAAAGCCTCAGTGCTTTTGTACCAACATCCACTCTAAAAGCTGAATGCATTTTATCAACCAGATGTAATTTATTTCTTTCCCAGGTCTGCTTTATCTTTCAAACCACAATAAGAAATATGGCAAAGGGGCTGCCCATCTCCCAGAGCCAATGTCCACCCCTCCAGCCAATGCAAGAGCAGAATGGTGAAAAATCAGTCCTTCCACAAGTATTACACATGGCTTCAGCTGCCAGAGATACTACTGGCTGTGAATTAAAGTTCAGTATCTTGGTCAGTCAACATTATGTTCAGAAAGCAGCCGATTTTATACAGGGTTCCCCTGGAAAGTGCTTTATCAGTGTTTGGCTCTGTGATGAGAGGCTACTCATCATAACACCTGCATTCCAAGGTGCTCTGACTCCTCTCCTGCTCATGCTCAAGGAAGAATGGCACTTACAGTATTCTCTGAATTCCAGGGAAACATCATCATTTCTACAGGAAGATTAGTTATAAAAATGGCATTTCTTCACTAAAGCTAAAAGAACACCTTCCAGAAAAGTAGCATAATGATCCAACATTTGTGGCTTGCTAAATTCACAACATTGAAGAAAATGACCTTAGTAATCATTGCAATACTATCCATTAAAGTCTGGCAGCAAATAGTTTTTCTTTTTAAGACACATCAGGTAATAATTTGTTATGGTGGTTTATCCTGACCAGCTTGGGCAGGTTCTAAAAAAGGAACAAACACCAAGTGTGTGGTTGCTCCAAAGAATCCTTTTTCCTTTCTTCTCTCCTTCTTTTCCTCTTCCACTGAGAACAGACCAGAGGCCTGACCAGCCCTACCATTACATTATACCCAGGTAACACAGAAATTAATCAATTAATTTATTATTAATAGGAGCAAAACGTAAAAGCGGAACAAATTGAAGGTGTGCTACTGAGCACACTGTGTCCTGCTGGTGTCTCCAAAAGACCTTTGTGATAAAAATGTACAGATTCTTTAGCTCTGAAAAGTTGAATATGCTAGACTGCAATTTCAAAAGGATGAAATCTTTTCTGTCTCCTATGTTCTTCTAGCATTCCTTTTTTTCTTCTGCTTTCTGCACTGCTGGATTTTAGCATCCATGAGTCAAGTGATTCTTCTAGCATCAGTACGTTTTTCCTTCTGATCTCTGCCAAAAGGCCCCTGGTTAGACTTTCTGCATTTCGATATGCTGGTGGTGGTAGTGGTGGTAACAGTGATGTCTGGGCTGACACCTTCCATTTAGTTTATAAACAGAATTTTTCTGCTGCCTTTTTTTGAAAAACCACACTGCCAGAACAGCTGCAACCAGTAACAAGCAGAGAAGAATCACTATTACTGCTATGATAGCACCTTTAGTGGACTTGGGACAATCCTCTCCCTCACATGGCTCAGAAGTGGGGCCAGGCTTTTCTCCAAGGCCCTGGGTGAGATTTTCTTGCTCAGCTAAGTCCTGGGTAGCTGTGTCAGTGATGATGTCTGGAGCTGGTGCAGTGGTTGCTACTTGTCCTGGGTAGGTGGTTGTGTCTCTTGGTTCTGCGTATGGAGTGTGATCGAAGAGGCTGACAGTCACAGAGGTCTCTGACATGGATGTTGTTAAGCTGCTGGTGTCAAACAGCATCGTTGTAGTGGGCTCCTGAGTCACAGTTTCCAGAGATGTTGCTGGATGTTCCCACACAGCATCATCATAACCCCTGCTGACACTGAAGCTCTCCAGACCACTCACTGATGTAGGGGGCACCGCTGTCTCTTCAGCCCCTTCATCACCTGCTGCTGTTGTTGCTGCCACAATCTCTGTTAGACCTTCCTCTGGAGCTGGGCTGCCATTTCCCGATTTTCTTACTTCCACGTGATTTGGCTGGTCAGTTGTGAGGATGATGTCATCTTCTGTTCCCATGGAACCATCGACTTTATCACCCTCTTCATCATCCTCCACCACCTCTTGTGTTACTGGGTATCCATCCAACCACGACTCGTCAGTGATGGCAACCGCACCCATCGCTGTCTTTGTATCATTTGTGGTAAGAATGGGTCCAATGGGGAAATCCTCACTGTCATAAAACATTTTGGCACCAGGTTCATCATAGACTGTCTTCACACCAATGTGGTTATCACCTTCAGAAAACTGTGCTTTAGTGGAATCATCTGTCTCTTTCTCCGGTTCGGGCTCACTGAAAGTTTCTGATGGAAACCAAAATAAGTTTTTTTGGCTAAGGAGTGACACAGGGGACTCAGTTGGTGCCCTGCTTCCCTTTTCAGCAATGTCTGTGTGCTGAGTAACCCCGTTGGTACTCCCAGTTCTTCCTTCCTCTGAAGTTTTACTGAAGGAAAGCTGTATTTGCTCCTGCTCAATTTCCTCTTTGCCATTGCCATGGTCATTCTCAGCAACAGGTATTGATCTGTCATCGGGAAAGTTATCTTCATAGTCAATGTGTGCCTCGGTTTCATCTAGAAAAATTAAAAAAAAACCCTCATAAGCCAACATTTCATTCTCTGTCAAAGCACTGAGCTCATTTATTACAAGAATCCAAGAAGAGATGTGCAATGTGAAGTGTCTTCTAGGCAGTATTTTTCATTCTGTGTTTATTTGAAAAGGGCATGGTCCTTGAGCTGATTGTCAACTTCAAGGGTTTTGTTTAAAAAAATCACAATAGGTGTCAATGCTAACTGCTAATGTCTTACCTTTCCAGATTTAAAAATTAATATAAATATCTCACCGTCTGCAGTTAGAGGACTTCCTTTGTTTATTGTTTTCTCAAACTTTTTCTTTCCCTAGTGTGACTCTTTGCAGGATTTGAGGAAAAAATTTCATCATATTCAAGCAAGAAATGTGCGTGGAGAGAAAGATATAGCAAAAAAATTAGTCTGTTACTAATTGGTAATAAAAAAAATACCCCAGACAAAGCTAGAAGTTTTACAGCAACTTAATCCCTTTTGACCTAGATGATTTTAAAGAATTATGTTCAGTATCTTATGCTCAAGATATCAAGGCACGTTCTTATCAGTATCCTGCTTTTCTTCAAGCACCTTGGTGTTACTGTGGTACAATGCCTGGAGCCAGAACAGGATTTCTTATTTCTTAAGAGCTCTTCAGAGCTGGCTGAGGCAGACTCCACCCCCAAGGCTGACACTGAGTTCTACTTGTTTTCATCTGAAGAAAGCAAGATGCACCCTGCAAGGCTGGAAATCTCTGTCTCAAACACTTAAAGCCTAACACCTAGTTAACATGATAATCCTGTCTGTCAGTAATCAACTCTCAGGCTTCCAATTTTAGGGAATTAAATGTTGCCACTGAGAAAAGAGAAAAAAACGAGCACAGAACAAAACTGGTAAAAAAACTGAGTGCAGCAGTGAGGTAGATTCATTACAAAGCTTGAGTTTGATTTAGAAATACTCAACAGACCTACCACTGATAGCAAAATAGACTTGACTCAAAGCACAAAGCTAAATGTTTGAATTTGAATGGAATAGTGCATTGTACTTAATATTTCTTCCACTATTCTAAAGGCTTAGCTCAATGAAAAAATTTCCAAACTAGACAGGGTGGTTTATTTTCAGTTCACACAAATTTTACTCCATAGAAAGTTGATGTAATTTCTGAGATTTATGCTGGCATTAAAAGTCATAAAAAATAGTGCTTTGGGATATGGAAAATAAACTAAATCATGGTGAGAATTTTTCTTTTTAAGAGGGTGTTTAGTCTTTTATAAGGACAGAGAAGCAATAGACCTGGCATGACATGGGAAACAAGACATTAATGGGAGAACCTGTTTTACAGATCACTGCATTTGCAAACCCTTATCTTCTTTTGCCTTTTTACAGTCACTGGATTTTGAATTACATTTTCATCTGGGGCCCACCTCAATTTCCGCCTGAGTCACATTCTCCTTGGAGACTGCTTCCCAGGCTTCTGGCAGAGCCATATTTGGTCTGCTCTTCAGAAAGATTAGAAATATTGTCAAACCAGTCTGACCAAAACCACCTAGCAGTGATACAGCTCACACCAGCTCGCTTTCTTGCCAAAACAGCTTAAGCCAGGTGCCAAAACAGAATGAGCATTAGCAAAAGGTATTTTCTTTGGAATATCATCTGGGTCTACCAGAAACCAAGGCAGTTATGCTAAGGAAATCCAAATGTGTGTCCCAAAAAGCCTGCAGAGAGTTAATGCCTCTGTGAAAGCTATCCTGCTGGATGTTCTTAGCAGGTCCTCTCATCTCACAGCAAGTGCCAACAACAGACCTCTCTCCCTCCTGGTCCAGTGTTCTCATCTGCCTGTGTAATCCTCTAGATCCTCCCCATCCTCTCCAAAGCAGGAAAAAACTTCTGTCTCGTTCAAGGATGATTTAACAGACAGGGGAATAAAACTCTTAGAGTGGAAATCTTCCTGGTAGGCCTCTCACTTTTCTAATTAATCCTGAAATATTTTCCAATAGTATTTCAGACTTGCAAATGTATGGAGGATAATTCTGAATACCAGGGCACTTTAGCAACATATTCATGAAGCTCTGTATGGCACTATCCATCACAATGCAGCACTTCTACTGACTGTTAAACATTAGCCTCACTTTGCCCCTTCTCTTGCTTTCACTTTAGAGTTTTTCTGCCTGGCTGGCATTCTCTTTGCTTGGAAATGATGCCTCAAACTATTACATCCTTTAATAATCCAGACTCCTGCTAGAAGCTGATACCTGGCATGCCTGCTTCACTAAAGTTCAGTGTGTCTGAGGAGAGCCTATAGGTGTCTGTGGCATGTACATGAATTGGAACATCACAATGGGAGAGGTCACCATTTACCAACCGTTATGGTCATTGTTTTATTTTTGTAATTGAATCATCACAACAGTCTGTCCTCACCTCTGTGTCTCTTATAACCTCTATTTTTGCCACTCATCCACTTTCCACACTACAATAATCCAGCTGAGGTTCAAACAGTAATTTTTATGTGGTGGTGAGCGGGCACACACATCTGCACACACAAATTACATCCACATGCTTGTGTTGTTTCCTCCAGACCTATTTTTTAGTTAGCAGTGTGAATGGGCAGCTAGTATTCATCTCATTGACCAGTATGTGTGAGTGGATCATTGATGAATGCTTAACAACTGTTGTAACAGGCTTTTTAGAGATTTTGAAGCTGTTTTCCTTCAGTGTTTCTCCTGCCTTGTGGTTTCAGCCCTCTAGGAGAAGGTCCTATGGAGGCACATCAGGAAAAAGCATGTGCTTCTAAGAAAGTGCAAATCCTCAGTCTATCAGAACATATTAAAGGTTTGTTGAGCCATCAAGGGAGTCTCCATCAAACATGCTGCCTTTGAGCATGATCCTGCCTGTAGAGAAATGAACTGGTGTTTTCTTAATGCAGAGCTGGGGGAAGAAAAAGCCCATTGTAGTCTAAAGAGATCCCGAGATTGGAGCTCATTATGCACTGCTCGTCACCACATAAGGGAGTCTTGTTCCCTCTCACAATCAGATTGTGGCCCAAGTTGTTAAGCTGCTCTAACATATTTTCATATTCAATCTCCCCTATTTGTAGAGTTTATAGCAGAGACTATCAACATAACTAATGTTAGCTTATGGGATGCCAAAATGAAAGCAACTACTGAGCTCTCTAACCATCAAAGGAAACACAGACGCCCTTACTCTGGAGTTTGATTTATATGATCCTGGATTGACTTACACAGTAATAATACTCTATTCTTTCTTTCTGGGCCTCAGACCTTCAAATGGGACTTGGACTCAGTATTTAGTGACTCTGTGTTACCATGACAATATTTTAAGTCCGCCATGAGCTTGATTTTCTGGGAATAGATTGCACAGCGTCTGCACTTCTTTTTGCTCACCTCCTCAGCACTTTCCTGAACTTTCCAGTTCCCTGTATTTTAGTGTTGGTACTGAAGAGCAACAACCAAACTAGATTCAGCTCCACCTCTTACGCAAGAAGTTGTAACTGTTATTTATACATATTTTTATAACTGCTAGCAATTGATTTTAAAGTGATTGCATCTTTCTTTCTACCTAGGCAGGTCTGGTTTTATGAAGAGCCAGCCTTGAAATTAATTTATCCAAGATCAAAATCTTTCTATATTTGGTCATTGATGCGCCTTGACCATATCATCTTCTGGCAGACTCAAGGATCAGTGAGTTTTAATTCACTGTCTGAGAGATTACTGAGTCTGAAATGAGAACTTTACAGCAAGAGATGCTGAAATGACATACCACCAAAGATGTGAAGCTCAGTTAAAAGGTAAAATCCTTTTAATTATTAATTAATCCTGCTTGAGAAGCATCCAGTTTTGTAGAGCTCTCATCTCTTTCAGTTTTTGATCCTAATGTGAAAACAGTAACCAAACACAGAGACAGGCAAAAACAAAGAGCCTGGTCTTCCACACTCTGGGATCAGTTTAATTTTTCTTCTAGATAGTATATTGGCATACAAGCTCTATTTTGAGTGTTGCTATTTTGGGCAACCATAAAACGCACTGCATATTTTATGGGTGTATTTTTGGAGTACAGGAAATTGAAACCTGATTCCATATAGCTCATCATTATAAATATTTGTACTCTATAAAACATCTTTAGTCTAAGAATCTCAAAGTAGCTACAGCAAACATTAACAAGACAGCATCTGTCTTTAAGGATGGAAAGGAAAGGAGCATGTAGACTGATTTGCCTAAGATAAGTCATATTTGTGAGCTACAGCATCTCAAAGAATTATCCATTTATTTTGGATCAGGCACACAAATTTCACTGTAGTTGACCACAGCATGCTAAGCAGAGATTGTGCCTTTTGTCTTTTGCAATAGCTATAAGAAAGAGTATAACTTTTATTCCAGCAGAAAGCCTGCTAATATAAATAAATAACCCATCAATTTTTTTTCAACTTATTCCATTTGGCAGAACCCATTCATGCCAGATCAATACTTTACATTAATCTAATACAACCCCTCAGTGACAGGCTTGAAAAGGGAACCAAAGTTTGTCATAACAATTGTTTTGACAGGCCACAGACATATTTGTTGCTGATTATATTTTTCTGTCACAACTCTTCCTCTGCACTCACAGAATGAACAAAAAAAAACGCATCCTCAAATAAGATCAAAAGCCAGAGACATTTTGTTTGACTCCCCACATTAAAAATAAAAAACGAAAAATAAATGGTGCTAGCTAGTTCATGCTTACAGACCACATGAATGTGAGCCAATATAATTCTTGAAAACTCTGGAAGTAATGAGAGTTGTTGAGCCAGGCAACAAGCCTGGTAGCTGCAGATTAAGTGGTCAAAGTCAGCCAAGTCCTCCTTACACTGAATCTGAAGGATGGTCCTCAGCCTGGAAAAGTTGGACTACCTTGAAACACACTAGCTGTGTATCCAAGGGATGTCATTGGAGAGATTCCTTAGATGTGTAGAAGATATGGACTCTCCTGCCACAAGTATATAGCTGGAAAAACCCAAATAATCCAGGGAAAAGGACAGATACATGACATTCTTCTGAGCCAGTTTCAGGGCAGAGATGGAACATGATTTCCCAGCCATCTCATCTGCCCTCCCTTTGAGGGAGCAAACCCTAGAGAATGCAGCCAAATGCAGTCCAGCCCTGACCCCTGCCACTCAAGTGTTGGTATTAATGCTTCTGATATTGAGCTCATGGTTTATTTTGGGAAAAAAAAAAAAAAGAAAAAACAAATGTCATTTAGCAATTGTCAGTTTAATCTCTGTGTTTGCAGAACAGCCACAGCATGGCACATATGCATCTGCTTTCAGACCTTACTACAATGTTCTTCAGAATATATTTTGTGAAGCAAATGCATTCTCTCTACAGAAATTAAAAAAATAATAAATGGCAAAACCCATGTATTTCCCTGTTTTCTCCTTAAGGTTGCTTTGTTGGGCTAAATATCCCTGAGCTTTCAGCTAGAACACAGTGCCTTTTCATCACAAGGAATTACGGGAAACAGAGTCACTTTTTCTCTTAAAAAGCATCTTAATTAAAAATTGCTGTCTATTACCTGGTGTGCACAATATACTTTACAGCCATTTGTAATATACCGCTTTCCTAATTTCCATCATACTTCACTGTATCTAGAATCCACTTAAATTTCCATCATACTTTACTGCATCTGAAATCCACTTAATATAAATCCAAAATTATTTTGTTCAATTATGCCCATAGCCAGGGTTTGCCATGTATTTTGTATTATGTGCCTATTTGATTATCTGCATATTTTTTAAATTTTAATTTGCAAATCTGCTGACTGTATGGCTGTACATTTATATACTAGGTGCACTTATATCCCAGGTGCCAGAATGGACTGTAGCTCTTCTTGCAGGATCAAAACAGAGAGGAAAGATGATCACAAAGAGACTTCAAAGAACATTTAACTGCTATATTTAGACACTGCTATGATGATAGTTCTGTGACTCCATATTTGCTCTGCATGAGCAACTGGGAATGTAAAGCCAGTCTGATGCTTTTCCACAAACAAGAAAAGCATGCAATTATTGCTGTTTATTCTGATATTCTGCCTGGACAACTGGGTATTATAATGGGGCAGTTACCAAGTAGATCAATGTTACTCAAGGTGTAACATCCACAAATCCCAGCAAGCTTTATGAAATTGGATAAATGTTGTCATTCTTCCACAGATGAGGTGGAGTAAGCAGCATAGGGCAGTATAGTGACTTGTCCCTAGTCCCAGAGACACTGCAAGATTTAGGAACTGACCTTCTATCTCTCAGTGCTCTGACCAGAGCTTTTTCCTGTGGCCCCCTTTTGTTGGAGTAAGAGCATCGGGACCATTTTACGCTTCCCAGTTGCTCACCCAGCACAGATGCAGAGCAAGGGCACTGTATCATCTTACCAGGCTCTAAACATAGCGCTTAAATGTTCACTGGAGTGGCTGCATGAACATCTTTCCATTGATGTCAGCCAGCCAGGACAGAAGTGGTCCAGTCTGCCAACAGGAATATAAATTCTCCATTAAGTCCTGTCATTAACCCTCATGGTAGGAAAGGTGCTCTATTGCTTCAAAGCACTTAAAAATCCATCTGTGAGCTGACTTCTGGAGTACTTAATAATTGTTCTCCTCTCTCCTATGACCCAAAACTATCAGTCAACTCTAAATCAGGTTCCTTTTAATTAAATTCTCTTTTTTTGTTGTTGTTCTTTTTAACTGGATTCTTACTTTTTAAAAAATAATGAAACCTAGTATCACACATTTTAATCATCCTGTAAAGTCTTCTTTCTTAAAGAATTATGATCAGGAGGATTAAATACATAATTATTACTTGAACAATTATTGTATTTTCTGTCCCATGTCCTCAAAGCATTTGAAAAACATTAATCAGAGGAAGCCCCCCAGCATGAAGTCTACATTTAAATAATTTTTAAAATCATAATCTACAATATCACATCTGCTCCCAAGTTTCAGTGTTGATATTTGTGATTTTACAGCCATGCTTTCCTATTTTTAAAAAAAATATTTTCTTCTCCCCTGCAGCTGTGTGAAAGGCTCGGGAAAAGCAGGGGAAATAGATTATTTATCCAGAGAAAACAGTGAAACACAGACAACTTAAATGGCCTGGTTCTTTCCCTTCCTTATTTTGATGTAATACAGCTTTATGTCTGTGTGTGATGAAGATAGCATTTCCATTAACCTCAGTAAAGGAAAAAGAATTATCAATTTGGTGCAGATTATAGGGGATTCAGACCCACTGGGTAAGTTGAAGATGTTCCTGCTTATTGTAGGGGGGTTGGATCAGATGACTTTGAAGGTTCTTTCCAACCCAAACTGTTCTATGATCAACTACAAATACATATTTCTTTCCTTTCTCCCTCCACGTTCTTCCTCTATGTCCTGCATTGTTTTGCATAATCATCTGAACTGCTGTTTGTAAAACAGTTTTAGAAGCCGAAACAGTTGAGAAAAATGCTGGGGCTTTCATTCTTTGGTTTTTTTTGTGTATCTATACTGGTTGGATGAGTTTGAGAATCTGGTTCCCTAGTGCACAAACATGACCTATTTCTATGAAGAACAAGTTTGACCTTTTCTCATGATTATCCACTGCCTGATAGTGTATTCATGAGTAAAAATAACTCCTTGCAAGCCTCCAGACATTAAGGAATATATAGGTTCTGGAATGGATATACTAACTCCAGCCCATATAGATAGCTCAGCTACCCAACAGCTGCTCATTCCTTTGCTTAAAATTTATCTGTTTTGCCAGAAACCTTACTTAAAAGATGTGACAGCCTTCTCAAAAAAGTACTAAAATTTTGTGATGACCATTCATAAATACTGGGAAAAATGGTGGGTTTATGCATTGAACAAGGTAACATGAGAAAGCAGAATTCAGATTACATGTATGTCTGAACTCATGGTACTGTTTGGCCTATGTTTAAACAAGGGGAATGTTAAAAGACTGCTGTAGAATTTAACTAACACATAAAGGTTGTTTTTATTGAGGGTTTAAATTAAGGAAATGCCATTTTACAATTTGCTTGGGGGTTTTGTGGTTTGGTCTTTTTTTTTTGAAAAATCTTTTCTTGAGTCAAGTCATTTGGTAAGAAAACCCACTTTCACTCTTTTTAATGGAGTAAATATCTGGGCAACTACCCTTGCGTTTGCAGACAAAAATCCTAGAGGCATGGTGCAAGATAGAAAGTGTTTATTGGGGCAGATTAAAAGCAGTTTTTTGGCTGAGCTGACCTTTGACGCAGGCCTGGACCTGGCCGTACCACTCGCCGCAGCTGTCGCAGAGCAGCGTGAACGCCGACTCCTTGTTGCCCATGGCATAGCCCTGGGCACAGACGTAGAGCAGCTCGTCCCCCATGTCAAAGCCAGTGTGGCCGTGCAGGATGGTGTGGGGGAAGGATGGTGGGTCCCCACAGGGCTTGTCTGGAAGGAAAAAAGAGATGACATTGTAAAGACTTCACAATAGACTTTTAGTGCCCTGCTAAGAGCAGTGCTAAGAGTTTTCCCAAGGATGAACTTATACACGTCCACAGAACTTGTACCTCTCATCTGTTTCATGCCCTTATGTCCTTTCACAATTATTTCCAGCTGTAATTACCCATTACAGCTGGAAGGTAAAAATTGGGCTATTATTGTGATGCCACTGCCATGATGGTCTACTACCATGCCATTACCGTCTGACGGTCACGCATTTACGAGGGCCTTGTTTCAAACAAGGCAGGGTGCCAGATCACAGCTGTCTTCCCTGCCTGATTCTACAAAAGCTAACAAGAGCTTGGGCAGGTTGGGACTGGAATGCAACAATTTGGACACAGTCATTTTTCTTAACCACAGAAATGCTAGTGGGATTGTTTAAGACCAGCGCTTTCATCTCTTCCACATGGTAGGAAACCAGCAGAGGCTGAGCAATGGCCCAATCTGCACTCACAGAAAGAAGAGGTCCAGGTGAACACCACTCAGTTTTCAAACTATCTCTAATCTTCCAATCTTTCTCAAATCAGGGGTCTTCCCAGATATTCAAATCTCCCTTTTCAGGGTGGAGACATCCTAAAATAAATAGTGACTTGGGCTCATCAGCTTAAGAACACCCAGGGGTAACATAGCTCTGCTGTCTATGAGAATCTGAAGAGCTAAATTTATAGCAGGACATAAAACTCAAAAAGATGTTTGATAGTATTTTTGCTGACAGCATTAGAAGCCAGGGAGAAAAATTACTATGATCGAGATCAAAACTGGTTTTTGTTCCCTTAAAGAAGTGTGGAGAGGAGGCAGGCTGACAGCTGACAGCTGCCACCATCAGTGTAAACTAAATTTTAATTCTCGTTTTCAGGTTTGAATGATGTTGGCCACTGTTAAAAGGTAGATCAAGATTTTCTAGAGAACTTTTGAGCATTGTGCATTCTCTTTCCTCAAAGACCTTCCTCCCTGTCAAGAGTTCTTCACAAAGGGTTTGCAGTGTCCCTTTTTCCTCCATGTTTTTTACAGCCCTTTTGGAATAGGTGCCTCTTGGTTACAGAAAAACAAAACAAACAAACAAAAATATAATGCAAGAACATGAATTTTACCAAGAAACCCAAGGGCAAAGACTGCAGTGTTGATACAAATTATCAATTCTCTGTTCTTTCTCAAATCTGGGAATTTTTTCCAGTGGCTCTAGAACCCTATTGACTGTGTTAGAAAAAACCAGCTGTTTCTCTTTACTTTGTCTAGAAGATCCAAAACCTTCTTTTGTCCAGATACAGAACAACCAAAATTAAAAGGCTGTGAGTTCTGGTAATTATATTGGATAAGGGAAACATGGGGATAGGTCTATGTTTTAGTATTGATCTCTCCTGTTGAAATAGTTTGCTTTGGTACAAAAACTTGATTGTTTACCTGGTAAAGCAAAGATGATGTTCCTTGAAAAGACTTTTGTTTGGAAGCTGAAAAGACTCCAAGACAATGCTCCTAAACATGCAGAAGAAGAAACATCTTCAAAGAGCACCCTTGCTATTTTGCTACAGTCTACTTTTAGGGCATCATCACCACAAGATCTTGCAAGCAAGACAAATGTTTCATTGACACAAGTTCATGTCCAGGGTTTTTCAATGGGCAATAGGCTTGACAGAAAAGCCTTTTCAATCTCCCCTCTGCAAATCTCAGGCTTTCCTGCTTTTGCCCAGGGACATTCTGCAAAATTCTTGTGAGTCTCAGGCTGCAGCTTTTCCCATCATCTACCCACTTCTGACTCAGGCATAGGTAAATGCATGCTTATTTAGAAATGTGATGTATTTATTTTTGCCAGTCATTTGCCTTGTAGTGAAATGAAAATCCTATGATAAACATCCACACTCTGTGAAAGTTCCTTTGGATCAGGCTTTTGGAAATTGTCTGAGAGACCTGACTAACCATTTCTCAACTGGGTATGCTGAAAAATATCTGCCACTAATATAAGGGCCATGCTACTAAAGTCAAACTTTGAAGCTTGTTCTCTCTACTGTACACACACAGAGGCATATATATATATATACTGTCTAACACCTTCAGAAGTTAGTGGGAGTTATGCACACACACACTGACAGAAAAAACAAGCTTTTGAGGCTACACAAAGCTCGGTTTATACAGAATCTTATGGAGGTTTGACATCTGAGGAAGTGAGGAGCAGTTAGCAGCTAATGCTTTTCCTGTGAACTGGCCGGATGAACGGAGATTGATGTGGATGAAAGGTATAAAAAAATATTTTATTGCCTCATAGGAAGGCTACAGAGCCTTGCATTTCGTGTACTTTATTTATGTAGCTACTTCCATCCCTACAAATGGGAGCTGTATATCTGTTCTGATGAAAGTATTGATCCCAAGGCTGTATGGGCTGTATGGAACAATTACACATCAGAGAGTATTCTTATCTACAAAGCATTGCTTCTTAATCCTGTTGCCAGAGGAAGCAGAAAAGCAACACATTAGTTAACTATGGCAAACACATTCAAAAAGCACATTATAACCTTCCAGGAAAGGGGAAAGCCAAAGGGATCTTTACAGTAAAATTTGACAACAGACTTGGTAACAGAATTATGAACCCCTGAAAGAGAACTCTGGCTGATGCATGAACAAAAAGAAAAGCAGAGATTTTAAAGATGTTCATGGACAGACACTGAATGGGGAACTCTTGACTCTCTCACATGAGACTTTGTAAGGTCATGCATTTGCTGCAGAACATACTGAGTGACAGCATGGACAAGCTTAAGTGAAAGCTGATACACTGCAAAGACAAACTCAAGTTCCTACATCCATTTTGCTGCTGTCCTCTCCTGCATAAAATGCACAGGAATTTTCCAGGTTACAGCATCTTATGGCTCCTCGTCCTGCTGCAGTCTCAGTTGCTATGACAATTCCTGCTCAGCCTTTTGCCAAACCTGTTCCTTCTGGCACACGTACAGAAGTGACACTGGCACAGCAACTCATCACACCGAGCCACTTCTGGGGACAGGCTTCATGTTTTTGTGTGCAGCCTTTGTACCAGGGGCTGGAAGAGCATGGGGCTTATTTGGAACAACAGTGTGTGCTCAGTGCTGGCACTGAGGCCATTTTCTTGCTGGAGGAGAGGAGGCAGATCTGGGCCACGGAGCGTGACAGAGGGCGTGTTGGCAGCAGCCTGTCGTGCAGAGGAACAGTAGTGCTCTTTGTTGAGGTGACCACAGGGGCTGCCTGCAGTTCTGCTGTTGGGTAGATGAGGGCTGGGCTCCTCCATCCATCTGGAGCACTGATTTTTCCCTCATCTATCCTCCCACAAACCTGCATATTTTCTTGCTACTGGCTGAAAGATTAGCCCAACTCATGGTTCCCAGTAAAAAAGCTGGATCTACTTGATACTCAAGGGCCATCCAGCAGACATCAAGCAGGTCCTGTGCTCTACCTGCTTATGTCCAAGATCATACCTTAAACCTGAACACTTGGAATTGGTTTCTGGATATCGTGACCCTTCCAGAATTTTCTACATGTTGACATTGAGGTCAAACAGATAACAAGCCTCCATATGTTGATAACTGACCTCCAGTAAGAGAGGGTGGATTGAGCTTCAGATCAACACAGCACAGCACAGATATAAGGAAATTAGTTAAAGTTCGCAGGACATCCTCACATCAGCAGTAATTTATCACAGATTGTGTCCTGGAGTGAAAGTCACCACTACAGTCAAGACAGATCTCAATATACACGTGCAGAAATCAGAACAGAGTCAACATCTGGTAAATGCATGGGAATAAGTGGCACAGCAAAGATATATATGGGTGTTGAGGACAGATATGTTAGGGCTAGTGACAGCTGTGGTTACTGACCTCTTAGAGACTCAGTAACTATTTTTTACATGAGACTAAAGAGATCTCCTGTTAATTGAGTTAGCACATGCAGTAATGATTGGCTTTTAGGAAAAATATCTCCTCAGAATAGTAACTTTAAACTCAGAACACATGTGGAAAGGATTTTGTGACAGGTGATTTCTGGCAAAGACTTGACACGTGTCATTTTAAGAACACAGCAATTCTCCTCCCCAGCCCAGATTACACCAGAAGCACCACCTTTATCTGAACTATAAGCATCCCACTAGTCTGCAAAGATTTTTTTGAGATGTCTTGATGAAATACTGTCTACAGAAAGGATAGCCTAAGCTCAATGCAAAAAAATCAACATGAAGAAGATGCAGACTGCAGCTTCCACATCACCTGGCAGAACCAGGAATTTACTGAAATCTGATTATCTAGAATTGCTGCTTTAACTGTGCACCACACTCTGAAAGTTGACATGAGACATCCACTTTGACATAAAACATCTCCCATTACAACCACTCAATTCAGTGGAGCTTTTCCAGAGAGGCCACTGGAATTTTTAGGATGTCATCTTGTCATTAAGAAATTAGAAAATGCAACTCCTAACAGTCAGACCTGTGAATGAGATGAGTGAGGGTGTTTATTTTGCTTCTTGATTGCAGAGACCCTAAAGTATATGGAATTTTTCTGTTCGGATAGAAGCACTGAGTATGAAGAGTCAAAGCTCAATTGTAGCCAATGTAAATGTTGCTTGTAAGCTACCAATGCTAGGATGCCAATGCCTCTTAGATCAGACAGGACTTGTGGGACATTATTAGTTTAAGTGACATCACCAGAGAAGTGGGAATTAACTGTCAGCTATATGCAAAGCCATGAAAAATAAAGCTGTAGCACTAAAAGAAAAATTATATCTACAACAAAGCATGACAAATACAAAGAAATTGTTCAAATATTACACAAAGCAAACTTCAGTTTGATTGCTCTTGTAAAGTACAGTTAATGAATTTGCTGTAAAGAATGCACTGATTTCTTTTTTTCTTACTGCTGAAAAAGGCTAACTAAAATATGTACACAAGCCATCAAGCTTTGATGGATATCTGGAACCAGCACTCATTTTTTAAAAACTTTGATTTGCATTTATGCCGTACTCTACTACAAGTTGCTGCCTGTTTAGTTTTCTTGTGGTGGCAGCAAATCAAAGCCTTATGGAACAGATCTTATTTGTTGCCTGTAAATAACAGTGGGTCACTGAAAGAAAGAACCACTAAAACCTGGGGGTTATTTACAAAGAGATCTTTCCTTTGCTGCAGGAAAAAAATAAGAAAGAAAACCAAAAAGATTTTATATATTCATATGGAATTGAATGGTATGTGTTATTACAAAAAGTAAGGCAGGAAAAATCCCAGTTTTCTGATTTTCTTGCTTTACCTACTTCATACTTTAAGGTATTTTCTTATGAACTCTAATAGAGATACACACTCTGGGTGCCAGACCTAACTTAAGTGTGATACTGCATTTTCAAAATTGGCCAAACCTAATATATTTTTAGATATTTTTTGGCACTCAGGGCCTAAAAGGGAAATGTTCTCAGCAGATCCTGAGCTGGTACAGAGTTGTCTTGCTGACTCTAATGGCTGCATAAAACATGTGTTTATGAGAAGCTGAGAAGACACATTTCTCTGTACTGTGCAAACTGCAGCTACGCTCAGAGCATTCATAAAACATTACAGCTACATCTTTCCTTGTCAAACAGAGCCCTTAGAATCAATTCCCCATAAAAGATAGCTCTTAGTCTCAACAGTTGCTGTGATTCCTCTGTGTGTACAGATCAAAATCCATTTCAGAAACAAACCAAAAAACTGTCTCTCTCTTCAGGACTTCTATTTGCAGAAGCCTGATGCTGTAAGCACACCCAGAGCTCTTGCAGCATCTGACTGCTGCCCTGGTGTAGTGGCATGCTGAGATGTGTGCTTAAGGAATTTGACTCCACTCGTTTGCCTGGGAAAGGTTAATTGAGTGAAGATCAGTTATAAATCAAGGGATAAGAAGTCAATTTGGTTTGTACTGGAGCTTTCATGGTGTTTTGAGATGTGTTCTGCACAGTCCTAAGAACTGAAGGTAGAGTTGCAGGGAGTTATTAATGTCAGCTTAGTTTGTGAACTAGAGCTTGATGAGACTGTTCCCTCTGTCTGTTTTCTGCCTACCAGTCTGTCTGAGCCTTTGGCTCTTCTCAGCCAAGTCTGACAAAGAAGGAAAGCTGCTGTCTGCTCATTATTAGTTGGGTGGATGTAAAAGAAATGAAAGGGCTTGAAGAAATTAATATAGCTCTCAGTGTAAGAAACCTGGGATTTATAACTTCCAGCAGGGCAAAACAACTTGCCTTTTGCACTTAACTATAAATGTATTACTATATCATAATTGCAAATGTATAGATAAAAATGGATGTCCACTTTTCTAAGACTAAAAAAAAATAAATTCATGAGGTTTCAAGTAAGAAACAACTTGTTAATCCAAACTTAGATGTGTAGTTATTAGCCACATGTACATAAGATCAGAACAGATATGCTGTGTGTGAGGTTGTGGTGCAAAGTTTACTCTTGCTGCTTCTTACTGGATATTTGCTAAAACTGGAAGTGGCATCCCTGAGGATGTTCTTTCATCAGTCAACAGCTCTGTGTGTTACTGTTGTAATGTTCAGGCCGTTTCCTTTCCAGACTTTGCTCTTTTCATACCAGCTATAAACCAGGCTCTGCCACACAACTTCACTTAAGTCTTTCTGTTCAAACATGGGCTTTGCATCTCAATTTTTTTATATATTTAAGGAAGAGGGAACCTTAGAGTCATCCAGAAATGTTTCTGTGTATAAAGGTGTTGAGAGAGTAGTTAAGAATTGGAAAAGTACAAGGTTGTGGCAAATTCTAAGTCTTGCACCTGCAAGATAGCGTGTCTTTAGGCTTAGTTGTAGTATGATAACAAATAGTGAAAGAGACATGAGAAAAGAGAGATGTAACCCCTAAGGAATGGGGAAGAGCTGATGTTGTAGTGTGGCCAATGGACAGTGTAAATTACAGAATATTCATGAGCTTATTACTTGCTGTATAAGTGTCTGATGCTCTCTTCAATAAACGAAGCTTGCTGATCTCACATTGAGAGTCCCAAGTTTTCCCTGCACCTGACAAATAGCTCATCTCCGACATAAAGGCTGCTTGAGTGCAGTGGGATGATCATCCCTTTCTGTCATCAGAAAATTCCGTGTCTTCTACAAAACAAATTCTTCACAACTTGTACACTCTTTGCAAATGATCTGAATTCCCCCAGAGTTTAAAGCATGCAGTTTCTCAGTCCCATGTAGTGCTCTTTTCCAGCATAGCCTTGTCTGGTTATGTTCTTGTCTGCCCCTTTACCGTGAGCAGTAGCCAAACCCAAAAGGTAAACACAGCTCCTTTTCCAAGATCCAACATTCCAAGTGGAGCAGGTGGGGACACACAGGGGAGCACAAGGGCACAATGGAACAATAGTGGCCAGAGCAATGATTTCAGCATCCCACAGCTGTCCCAACCCACTGCAAGGTTTTTCTCAAGGGAGGGGGGATGATGACAAAAGAGGTTTGAAGGAAGACAATGAGAGAGTTTTGCAGATGTTTACAGGGAGCTGGTCCTATGTGTGAGGAGCAGCATGGAGAAAGCACAAAGGTGCTTGTGTGACCACATTAGCAACTGGGTGACAGAGTTGGCATTGCTCACAGCAGCACGGAGCCTGGAGTTGATATCACAAGGGTTACTTGAGAGGATGGTCAAACTCTGCTAAAGTCATTCCTTCTAAAAAGAAAAATTGGGTGTACATCAAATATGCATCACCTCTGCCACATTTCACTTCAACCATATTTTCATCTTTTCATCCCTACTCCTGCCACTGACAATTTATCAGAAGCCCCCCCCCCCCCCCCCCCCGTGCTGTGAACTTGCTGTTTCTCAGTAAATGCCATCAGCTTACCCTTGCTTTTCTTGGAAATCAGATGCAAAAACTCACTGTGAGCATCAACAATCTCTTTCGGGGGTTCCCAAATTTCTTTATGTAATCTTTATGTAATTTCTTTTTGTAATCCCAAATTTCTTTATGTACCTATTAGTAACAATTTACTTTTTGCCTCCAGAATTCATCTTTGTTTGTGGGTTCTGGAACTTAAATATTGAAAAATTTAAGCACCAACATAAATTCAAATATTTTTGGTTTTCAGAATCATCTGGGATATATCAGCGTGCCTAGCAGCCTTGTCTACACTTGTTAAAAAAACACCAAAACCAAACGAAATTTAAACTAAAATGAAGTTTAAATGAAGTTATTTGAATACAAATGTTGTATACTGATAGACATACAACAGGGTGTTGTGTTGCAGCTGGAAACCTGTGTTACAGTCAGCTACAGTGCTGAGTAAGGGACATGCTTCAGCCATCTCCATTAGATTGGTGCCAGATATATTCCTTTCCATAAAGTATGTTCTGTGAGCACCAAAATGGGTTCTGCCAGATCAGTAGTGCTGTTTGAACTCACTAAACTGCAGCAAAGACAAAAGACAATACAATTTATTAGCTGCAACCAATGTCTTTGCATCAGTTGGCTCTTGTAGTGAGCGATTACTACAAAGATTAATCCCTTAACATTCCCCCTTTCTCTCTCAGCAGCAGAAAAATTGAAGGCAAAACCTTAAATGTTGCAAGACAGTGATGACTCTGTGTTATTTCAGAAGTATAGCAGTGCTGACCTTCATCCTTTACACAAAAAGCATCATATTGGTCATTCACAAAGGGATCGGTTTCAATTCTAACATCAATGGCTTTCACGCTCTGCTGTTTGCTGCCCGTCTTTCTGCATATAATTGTCCTAAAATAAAGAAGAAGAAGAAAACAATAATCAGAAATCTTCTGGAGTTGTACATGCAGGTGAAATTTGGAGATTTTTTTTATCAGAGTAGTCAGGTTTTAGCCTTAGCTGTTTCAGCATTGGCACATAAAGCAGTAGTGTGGGAAGATCTATGAAAAAAAGCCAAGGGAGAAATAGAAGTAAGTAGAAAAATGTTTGCTGTAGATCAGTTCAAGGCATAGGGAGAAATAAAGGATGTTTATCTTATTATGTACTGTAATACTTCTAAATATCAGACCTATACCCAGAGTAATTAAGTCAATATTTTGCTCTCACAGTTCAGCAATATATATTCCCAGCGATGGCACCTGGATAGAAATGAATGGGAAACTCAAGATTTGATCTGAAATTTTATAAATTATTAGCATTTACATTAAAGAACCATTAAGGTTGTATATTAAACTGCTCAAAAACTAACACAGTCAAACTTAGAAAATTCAGCTTGGGTCCATGGAAGAAAAACAGCTTTTCTTTTTCTTTTATTTAATAACAATTTCACACTTTTGGGTAAACTCCAATTCTTCTGGTTTGGTACTCAGCTGTACCTAATGTGTTGCCCCTGATAGCCTTGAAGAAAAGTATTAGATCTGTATTGGGTTTTACAACCCTGTAGATGCTGATGATGAAGAGTTTGCTAATTATCTCTTCTCTCAGTTGTACTGGCTGCTTAAAACTAGCAAATGGAAGAGAGTTTGTTGTAGAAAACATTGGTTTTACTGTTAAATTGAAGGTTACAAAGGCTGGGAAAGTAATTTCAGAGCAAATTTTTGCAGCTGGATATTAATGGTGTGGGTTTATATTTTTGTGGACAGCAAGCCTGTAGAAGTGTTGCACAGTCAGCTATTCTAGTGAAAGGAAGATAAAAACACTTTCCACAGAACGAATCCTTCCAGTGGAGGAAATTTATAATTTTGTATTTTGCAATGGTTGAACTAATGTGCTATCAGTCCTCCACTAAATCTGAGGAATAAAATAAGATAAAATAAAATCCAGTAATACAAAAGACTCCAAAATAAAGAAAATAAAATGCCCATTAATTGAGAGCGAAAAAGATCCAGTGGAAACCCAGTATTTGATCATGCACTTAAATGTTATCTAGAGATTTACAGAAATAGCTGAATTATGGTTGTACAGACTATTTTCATCTGGGCATGTGTTAACTTTTGAGTAGTTAAATATGTAACTTTAATGTTCTTTTAATACAAACAAACAAAGTCAACATGAAACGAGCCGTATGGTGGTGGTCACGCACATGCACCAGAATGGTTCCTGCCACACTTCTCCTCTGGAAAACAACATGATGTCATTCCCTGCTGAAAGCCCCTTTACTTGATTTAAAACCAGATTTGTTTCCTTTGTATAGAAAGTTCCACTTGATTTTTTGAGGGGAAAAAAAAATCCCTTCCAAAAAGTCCCTTTTTAAGGACACTATTGTCCCCACAAGTTTTAAATCCAGTTCTCTGATAATTTAATGGATTTAAAGTCTGAGACCTCCAAGTCAGTAATTAAGCACTTAGACAAAAACAACTTGATCTGCTAAAATAAGTTCAGATGAGTGGGAGGATCAGGACATCAATTAGAAATTTTCTATATGTATATAATATTCACATACTGTTCCACTGGGTCTTACAAGGTCTAAGAGAATGAGACATTTATGCTTCCCTTCAAAAATTAACTAACTCATCAACCTTAATCTTTCCAATAATTACTCAGTTGCTTAGATATCTGGATCAGTTATGTCTTGCAAGTAAATAAACAGATAATTATTTGACTACAAAAAAAAAGTGCTTTTTGTCTGTAATTTTGTACTTTAGGCTTCAAGCTTTCTCTTTCTCTCTCAAAAAAAAAAACCCAAAAAACCAAAACCAAAACAAAACCAAAAACCAACAAAAGAAAACAAGTTTGTTTTGAAGACTGTCACCAACACAAAATTCTGGTCTCTGAAAATCAGTCCAGACTCATTGCTATCAAAGACTAAGATTCCTGAGAATTGGAAGACATTTTTTAAAGTCTTGCCTTGAATATTCTGATTTCGAATTCCAATTTCTATGTCTATCTATTTTGCTTCTGCCCAAAACAATGTAATTTATTTATTAGTTCTTCATCAGGCTACAAAGTTGTTTGTGGGTGACTAATCCTTCATACAATGAGGTCATCATCAAAACAGGATACCTTCATGAGTAATACCACATATTTAAGTGCTAGTTTTCTCACCTTTTGTTTTCAAATATTGTACAATAAATTGCAAGTTTGTAGTTGATAGATTTTAACAATTAGCTAATTCATTTTAAGAACCTTTCTCAGGTGCTATCCAGTGAGACCAAACTTAAAAAGGTGTACCTTGCATATAGTTTCAACATTATACATAAAGAAAGGCTTTAAATTAAGATCTTTTATGTGTATTTACATGGATCTGCTACTTAGAACTTTAATTTGGACTTTTGTCATATTGAAATTTATGTGATTAAAGCTGTAAGCATCCTAAAGCAATTCTTCTGAAATGGAAGAAATCTTGCCTTGTACACAAGACACACTGCTGGGTCAATGATTGGACTTCATTGTCTCAGATGTCTTTTCATACCTTAATGATTCTGTGATTCTAAAAAACTGAAGGAAGAAAATATCTATTTAATCTCTTTCATTCCTTCTTCTCTGACAGTGGTTTCCCACCTGAAGCTCAGTCCTGCAAGCTCTAAACATCCTCAGTAAGGTGTTACTGCTGCTGATGGCTACAGCTTCAAGAGTGCTCAGCATTTCTCAGTAGCGAGTCGATCAGACCTGCAATGCCCATGGCATAGAAATAGTCTCTTTGCAGTCAGTGGGATTTCAGGTATGACTAAAAATACACATTAACAGTCTATTTTCTGAGTTCTTGAGGGTTAAAATCCTAAATCCTAAAATGCTAGCTTTTAATCTCTAATTAGAGCTGAAATACACAGGTACACTTTTGTCACAGTTCTAAAAGGTAGAATGTGATGCTTTTAAATTTGTTACAATTTTCATGACTGAAAAATGGCTACCAATTCAGAATTCATCATATCTTGAAATTTCTTCAGCCCCAGCACAGCTGTTCTGAAATAAGAGGCAAAAAAATTGTACAGCTGTTCTACTCTTTCCAGCACCCTGCTGAGAGGAGTTGCTGCCTGGTTTGTTTCTTGACTGTTTTGAATTATTGCCCTGGGGCGTGCATCATGGCTGAGAGAATGTCACAAACTTTGTACTTTTTAAGGGATACATCCACCTACACAGCCATTTAGAAGAATGCAGTCATGTACACTTAAGTCTATTTATGGATAATTTCATGCATTAATTGAACTTAAGCTCATTTCTCAGCATATAATGTCATCTGATGCTCAGAGCAGTGTAGTGCTTGATTTTGTGCCTTTTAGTTAACAAACAGATTTGATTTCATTCTCCTTCTGTGGAGATTTCTGATGAAGGCAGGCATGCTCAGAAGAAACATACTGAGTTTGGACAGCATATCACCCATAACAATTGTCTGTGATCCACATCTGCCTGGAACATCTGTGCATCCCTGAAAATTACTCTCACATGGCCATGAACTCACAAGCTCAGCATAAAAACCAATCAGAAACATTATCACCATAGACCAAGAAAGTACCACATGTCATCCAGTAAGATAAAGATGTGGTTGGTGGTGTTGACTGCAGCCCCTGCTCTCAGATGAAAAATTGGAAGGTGCCTAAAGGTGTCTTCTTTGTTTCCTTGGCAAAATACTGAGAATCTTCTTAGTCTACTGCTACCCAGCTCAGAAGGACAAACTGCTTCACGATGCCTCTTCTCCCCCAAAATAGAAAACAGAGGACCAGGGATTCTGCACTGTGTTGAACCTCAGCTTAACTCCTGTTGTTCAATAGAATTCATCCAACTAAGAACAATTAACACTCCTTTTTCTGTGCCTACCTTCGAAAAAAATCAGAGCCTGGCCAATCTGATCATTGTTTCCCTGTGCCATGACTCAGATATTACAGATATCATGTGCACACAGAGAGAAATTCTAATATGTGGCACAGTAAGGTATGAAGCAGACTTCTCAGAAGCCTTCTGCTTACTCTTGTGCTGCTTAAATTTTTTTCGAATGTATTATGTAATGAGTGAGTAACTGGTATATTTTGCTCCACTCTCAAAGATGGAAATAGCAGAAAAGCTGGCATGAATAGTACTTATTTTACAATATGTCATAATATGCCATAATATAATACGTATTAATAAACATATGATAATTATAGGCCTGAACTGCTGTAATTATAGCTAATGTCATAAATTTTATGTATGTATGTATGTATGAATGTATGTATGTATGTCTGTATGTATGTATGTATGTATGTATAAGAAAGGATTTTTTAATAAAGACATAGTATTTTTATATAAATGATAACCCTTTTTTATAGTAGTATCCACTGATAATTTTGCTTTCTAAGAAAATCACAAGGCAATTTTGTAATACTCGAAAATGTTTCAGTGAGTGCAAGTTAAAACATATGGATTTGACAGCTGAGTTTATATGATAAAGTGTGATCCATCAGAAAACAGTAGGTGGGACAATTTTTGTAGTTGCTACTTTATCCACCCGTTAATTTTAGGTTTTGTAGTCTTAGTCAATAAATTAACTGAACTGAAATTCACTGAACTGAGTCAGAATGGTCTTATGACATTGATTCATAGTAGTATGAGCTTGCAATATATTCAGCTCAGAAGAACATCAGGAACAGTAAGAAACCTTCCCCTAATTAGAAAGTTTAAAACTTCATCACTTTTCTTGGTAAAGATAAATCTTCAACATGTTGTGCTTTCTTTTTTTTTTTTTTTTTTAATGGGTCAGCTTTACTGTTTGTGTTTCAGTAACTAGGTAAGAGAAAAAAACCAACAGTAGTCTGGGAGCCAAACTAGGGAGTTTTTATTCTTAGTCTTTCCCCTCTGTATTTTGGGAAACTGCAAAT